ATCAAAAGCCCGGTCTCCTTTAATAATATCTTTAATATTATTGTCAGACACTTTGAACTGTCGCCGCGAGCGGTTGTGTATGCGGAAATTATTTTACTTTAATTCTCGAACTATGCATAAACCGTGTGACCTGCACAGAGGTCTCGCGAGTAAGGGACCACGAGGCTAATGTTTGATATGATGGTATATCCAAGCCTAATAGACCAGATGTCGTGCATATTCCAAGGATAATATTAAACATGTATTTCTGGCGTGCTGCACTGTGTTTTTTGGTCTTGTGCAATAATAGTCACACCCCTGGACTTAACACTACCGCTGCGAGTGAGTACACTTATTTTGTTTTGTGTATATATTCCTATCTACAATTGATTCCTTCCAGCCAGCCCCTATATAGGTAAAGCAATATCTGACACCTACATTCAGTCCTTTCTTTCTTGTGTTTGTTTACCAGTGAGAGAACAATATTTATCGTTACATATGTACTATGAGCCTTTGAAGTTATCAGCAAACATTCTTGATTGTTCATGAAATATACATATCCCTGATTTCATTATTTGTGTATAAATAAAGTGTCTGTGTTTGCACAATTTGATTACCAGTAATCTAATCAAGGTTAAGAATGTTAGCGGATGAAGTGTTTGTGTCCTTTTTAAAGGACTTTCAATATATATTTACAATGGTATTTGGCTGAGGAGGTGAAGTGTTGAGAAGCATATATGTGCTACTGAACTCTTATTTTCATATCACAACCAAGTCAACAAGTGAAAATTGTAAAATTTTCACTTTTTGTAACATGAGTCAGTTATGCCTTTAATGTATGACAGCTTACTGATGAGAAATAAATTCGGATAAATCATAGCCTGACTACACAGTCACCACTACTTAGAGAAGAGCCTACGAGCAACGAGGAATCAGGGATTACTCGTCCAAAGTGAATTAATTTGGCAATTTCCGACTCATATGTTTTTGTAAGAAACTGAAGACTAATGTGGGTTTCCTGATCCCATACAAAGACATCAGTTAAGATACTCTATTGCTGGAACAGTTGTTATCAAATTATCAACAAATATACACATGGAGCCGCATCACTTCCGCATGCTTACCATAGCATCCATGCCAGGTCAATATAGAGAGCGCCGAACTATTTGGGAAATGATACCTAATGGTAAACCTTTATCACATCTCTTTCACTGTTTGTTTTCCTGACTGGCCATCGTGACTACACACAGCATGGCAAGCTGAAACTGCTGTCCCCTTGATTCAGGCACACGACAGGATTTTGTATTCATACAGCGCTACTTTCTAAAGTCATTACAAGGAGCACGCAGTCATGTTAGCTGTTTTGCTCATTAAGGAGTCAACGATATAGTTAAGTAAAACAATGTAACTTATCTGACAGCTCATCTATTGAAAGTAATAACAAATAATATGGTTTATGTAAATGAAGTAAACACTTGTTCCAGTAAACATCTCGTTAAATGTACACCGTCAACGCCAGAGAAAAATCAACCTCGATTTCTTCCGAAACAGATTCCGTTGGGCGCAAAAGGCTAAATAGTGGTGAAAATGATATGAATCGATCGCTGAAAATCAGCGATGAAGCCAGGTGTCCGTGACAAGGTTAAGCTTGTCCTGCTTCTGCTCTACCTGTAGCATCCGCCACTCAGAACGTTCACGCAAAAGTAAGCGTTCGTTTCCTAAAGTCTTCACAGCAGTACTCGGGGCGGTCGGGTAGCCTAGTGGTTAGAGCGTTCGCTCGTCACGCCGAAGACCCGGGTTCGATTCCCGACATGGGTACAATGTGTGAAGCCCATTTCTGGTGCCCCCGCCGTGATATTGCTGGAAAATTGCTAAAAGTGGCGTAAAACCATACTCACTTACTCACTCACAGCAGTACTCCTGTAAACGTTTTCTTTAAAAGAGTAATGATCACCGCGTATGCTGTTTTCTGCAATTTAGAATATCAACTTCATTTCAGTGACCAGAAGATGTTAACGGAAATGAACCAGGAAGACACATTCACTGTTCATTGTTCCGACGAGGAAATAATTTTGTTTCGAAGTCAAAAATACCCGACTCAAGTGCGTAGTTTATATCCAGTGGTGATATTAAATAAAGATGATTAAACAAATTGAATTGACTGTTGTTGTTGAACCATCTTTGATAGTTTTCAAATATTAATATTCTAACATGTATCAGCAAAGGACAGAGTCCTGAAGCACTGACAAAGATATTCATTCAAACAATAATCACTATTGGGTTTAAACGTGTTGAAGTGTGAAGCTCAGATCAATGTGTCTAACATGTAAAGAGGCTTAATGCTGTGTCTGACAGAGTTTAGGGGCACGGGTGGCCCAGTCGACTAAGGCGCCGCGATTCGCTGTGCAGAGTTGCGTCCCTTGGGCACGCCAGAAACCTATGAGTGTGGGTTCGAATCCCGGTTCGCCCCGATTGTGTTTCTAGGTTTGTCAGCACCATACCCGTGCTCGCGGGTTTCACCGAAGTGGTAAACGTCTGAGACCTGCATCACTTTGGGCTTTCCTCCCACATCAAGCTGACACGCCGTGATATAACCTGAAAACTGTTAAAAGCGGCGTTAAACCCAACTCACTCACTCACTCACTCACTCTAACAGAGTTTAGAGCTTATACTTGTTAAGAACATATCCCGAAAACTAATGAATGTAAAGCAAATTCTTCTTTACTTTCAGATCAACTCATTTTCACATACGCCCATGCTTCATGTTTCAATAGTTCCTATTGCACCATGCTTGAAAGGTTCCCGCTGCATCATGCTTGAAAGGTTCCTGCTGCATCATGCTTGAAAGGTTCCTGCTGTATCATGCTTGAAAGGTTCCCGCTGCTTCATGCTTGAAAGGTTCCCGCTGCATCATGCTTGAAAGGTTCCCGCTGCATCATGCTTGAAAGGTTCCCCTTGCTTCATGCTTGAAGGGTTCCCGCTCTATCATGCTTGAAAGGTTCCCGCTGCACCATGCTTGAAAGGTTCCTGCTGCATCAAGCTTGAGAGGTTCCCGCTGCTTCATGCTTGAAAGGTTCCCTCTGCTTCACCTTGAAAGGTTTCCGCTGCTTTATGATTGAAAGGTTCTCGCTGGTTCATGCTTCAAAGGTTCCCGCTGCTTCATGTTTGAAAGATCCCTGCTGCTTCATGCTTCAAATGTTATCGCTGCTTCATGCTTGAAGGGTTCCCACTGCTTCATGATTGAAAGGTTCCCACTGCTTCATGATTGAAAGGTTCCGCTGCTTTATACTTCAAAAGTTCCCGCTGCTTCATGCTTGAAAGGTTCTCGCTGCTTCATGTTTGAAAGATCCCTGCTGCTTCATGCTTCAAATGTTCTCGCTGCATCATGCTTGAAGGGTTCCCACTGCTTCATGATTGAAAGGTTCCCACTGCTTCATGATTGAAAGGTTCCCACTGCATCATGCTTGAAAGGTTCCCGCTGCATCATGCTTGAAAGGTTCCCCTTGCTTCATGCTTGAAGGGTTCCCGCTCTATTATGCTTGAAAGGTTCCCGCTGCACCATGCTTGAAAGGTTCCTGCTGCATCAAGCTTGAGAGGTTCCCGCTGCTTCATGCTTGAAAGGTTCCCTCTGCTTCATGTTTGAAAGATCCCTGCTGCTTCATGCTTCAAATGTTCTCGCTGCTTCATGCCTGAAGGGTTCCCACTGCTTCATGATTGAAAGGTTACGCTGCTCTATACTTCAAAAGTTCCCGCTGCTTCATGCTTGAAAGGTTCTTGCTGCTTCATGCTTGAAAGGTTCCCGCTGCTCCATGCTTCAAAGGTTCCCCTTGCTTCATGATTGAAAGGTTCCCGCTCCTTCAAGCTTGAAAGGTTCTCGCTGCTTCATGCTTCAAAGGTTCCCGCTGCTCCATGCTTCAAAGGATCCCGCTGCTTCATGATTGAAAGGTTCCCGCTCCTTCATGCTTCAAAGGTTCCCACTGCGTCATGCTTCAAAGGTTCCCGCTGCTTCATGCTTCAAAGGTTCCCGCTGCTTCATGCTTCAGATGGTCCCACTGCGTCATGCTTCAAAGGTTCCCACGGCGTGATGCTTCAGAGGATCCCACTGCATACTGCTTGAATATGTACACTGTATGATGCTTCAAATGTTCATACTGCTGCAGACTTCAAATGTTCACACTGCATGTATGAATGTAATCTTCTGTTGGTCTGCTACACATTGCTGAACTGCTGTTACAACTGCTACCTGTTCCTGGATGTGTGTTTATTGTTTATGTATTGTATTATTTCAGCTGCGTCACCTGCATATGCTCGCCTTGGGAGTACTGCCTTTCTGTCATGGACATTACCCCGACCTGGACTCAGAGAGTTTACAGTGCGACGGTTATCTTCGAAATCTCTGTTCCACATAACTAACTACAATCAAGTGAATGTCACTGACAGATACAAGTCCAGAGCAGCATTCACCGGGGGAATGAATTCATCAGGATCTGGGGTGTTCAGCTTCGAGCTGTATAATGTGGACTGGCCAGACAGTGCAGAGTACAGATGTCACAGAGGGTCACCAGGCTCGCCCGGGTCAAGAGTGAACAACTGTGGTCAACGGCTAGTTGTTAAATGTGCGTATGATTTAATAATATGAGTACAATCAACCAAGCACAAATAACAATGTGTAGATGAAAAGAGACAAATGTAGTTTAAACAAGTTCTCTGAAATCAAAACTACTGGCCATCTGCTTTTGATATTCACTCAAAAAATCATCAAAATATACCTTTTCCATAATCTATCAAATACCATGCCACGAGAGGTATTCTCATGTCCTGATGCTCAATCGAACATACAATTTGCCAGCGCATTTGTCTTATTACTTGTTTGAAAAATGTTCTGTGACATGTGTATATTTTCATTTAGAAATGATGAGTATGCTATATAGTTGTCCTCAAATATGAGTTAAGGTCCCTGTAACGACCCTTGCATTGTACCTTTACCAATAGCCATACATTATATTTATGAACAGATATTGCTGATCCCTACATCGTCGCCCATCAGACAGTTGAAGCCGATAAAATTGTCACGCTGACATGTTACGTCGCCGTGAAAGGGTATATACATACATTAGTAACTTGGAGTTGGAGGCGGAATGAAGTCGAACAGGTAAACATAGGAATACATCCTTTGGCAGTCTCCAAGTTACATGGAGACTACTTCTACCACAAGAGCGCTCTGACAGTCAGTGATGTAGGACAGGATGATGACAGAGGGAGATACACGTGTAAAGCTGAACTAGTGAGATGGAATGTTCAAACTGACTGGAGTGAAGAATTTACAATGTCCACATACTGTAAGTTACTAAACCACTACAATATCAAAGGCAGGTAGTCAAGTTGTATAATATGCATGTTCATATGACACATTTGTTCATCCTAATTACAAATGCTTCTAAGGGCAGAGGGCAGAATCCACAGTTTACCTAGTAGTATAAGATTGTAATAACAACAAGACATAGATGTAATCTCCAGACGAAGGTCATACAAATGTCTTCTGTTGCAACTTATGATCCATACAGTCATGCCAGTATCTAGCTAGTCATGTGTTAACTTGATGAGACTTTCTATCTTAGCCCCCTGTTACAGACGAATGTCATTTCTTTACACTACATTTACATTACACTATCTTTATTTGAAAAACATACAAATATTAATATACAAATCAGGTGTCCGGCAGGTTGACTCCTGGGAGTCTAGTGTGATCCTGTTCATACAGCACCCTAACCAGTTGGAGGAGATGGTAGTGTGACTGTTAATGGTTGGGTTATATACACCCCAGGAAGTAAAGAACGATAATAATCAAGTATTCTATATTTTTTAAAGAGCTCTGTACAAATCCATAGTAATGACAAAATTGAAATGTGTATTTATTGCCTCCCAATATCACTAATATTGCAACTGATTCAGCACTATGCACATTACGCTTTCACATGAACATGAAAACACAGACCCGCGCTCATGCCAGTACGCCTTAACTCATACATGCACACTGTTAACTTATGTATGTGTAATTGTGATGTTTTACAGCAAAGATGGAAAAAGTCCCAAACTACACACAAGTGCGTGAAGGTGATCATGCCACGGTAGCCTGTAAGATGCCTCGTTATCAATATGAATTCTACATCATGACACCTAGTGGGGATAAGTTGATGGCTGTGAAATCCAATAAGGTCTACATACTTCCGAAGTACTGGCTCAGAACCAGGATGGTGGGGGTTGTTACCTCCCGTAACACCAGCATCTATGTCTTTCGTCTCTACAATGTTACACTAGCTGATGCTGGAAGGTACACCTGCAGGAGAGAGGGAAAAGGTGCAACCAAGATCTCCATGACTCGGTGTATACACGACCTGTTTGTCTCACGTACGTGTCTCTTACGTTCACAGTTGTAATCCGGTGTTATGTGTATTGCGTCAGCTGTGCTACGTAACTGTCAAATTAAAAATGAGTGAGTGAGTATTTCGTTAATCACTCTGAGAGGTAATTCAGTTCACAAATTTAAAGATGAAAAGTTAACGCAAGAAAATAACAAGTGTCGAGTTTTCGACGAAACAGATACTATAGGGCGAAAAAGCAAATTAGGCAGTGAAAAGCCAAAATATGGAAGGAAAACCCTATCGTATGCAGATTCCTCTTCAAAGTATATACTCGTATGTGGTAATAAATGGACTATTAATGTACTCACTTCGATTTGATATGAAATGTGTGTCCCAAGTGAAATAATTTTCAATTAGCCCTTGGCACATAAACCTTGATATTAAATTGTTTCAGGTTTGTGTAAACATAACGTTATCACCCTCAGCAAAGACAAATCATGTTAATAGAAAATAACGTAGGCTTATTCATTAGGCAGTGACTACAATAGTGTCAATGGAAGTATGTCAAAATATTTAACATAAGAATGTATTCTCTTAGAAAAAGTTGATATAAATAGTAGATAGGCTGTATTTTGTTAAGGTACGTATTTTTTTGGCTTTTGCGAGTTGTTGAATGCATGCATTCTTAATGTTATAGTTATATACTAGTAATATGTGTTTTGTGAGTTTTGTTTTTGTAATGTATAAAAATAAGGAGTGTAATATATTGATGCATAGTGTAGTTTAGTATATAACATTCAATACATTTCAGGTCATAACGCCACAGGAACAAAGCCAGTTATGACATCGCCGAATAAGTGTAAGTATATAAGAATGGTGTAGAGTGGAAAAAGTTGCAATTCATCGTTCGGCACACAGATTATACTGTCACCTGTATTCAGTGTAAGTCGTGTATCGTGTAGACTGTGCTATTCATGGCCCGTGTAACATCCACAAGTTCATGTAAGTCAACATACCCGACTTTGTGTATAGTGTACCTTGTCATATGTAGTGCAGATACAGTTCCCGCTGCTTCATGCTTGAAGGGTTCCCACTGATTCATGCTTGAAAGGTTCCCACTGCTTCATGCTTGAAAGGTTCCCGCTGCTTCATGCTTGAAAGGTTCTCGCTGCTTCATGCTTCAAAGGTTCCCGCTGCTCCATGCTTCAAAAGTTCCCCTTGCTTCATGATTGAAAGGTTCCCGCTTCTTCATGCTTCAAAGGTTCCCACTGCGTCATGCTTCAAAGGTTCCCGCTGCTTCATGCTTCAAAGGTTCCCGCTGCTCCATGCTTCAGAGGGTCCCACTGCGTCATACTTCAAAGGTTCCCACTGCGTGATGCTTCAGAGGATCCCACTGCATACTGCTTGAATATGTACACTGTATAATGCTTCAAATGTTCATACTGCTGCAGACTTCAAATGTTCACACTGCATGTATGCATGTAAACTTCTCTTGGTCTGCTACACATTGCCGAACTGCTGTAACTACTGCTACCTGTTCCTGGATGTGTGTTCACCATGTATTGTATTATTTCAGCTGCGTCGCCTGCATATGCTCGCCTCGGGAGTACAGCCTTTCTGTCGTGGACATTACCCCGACCTGGACTCAGAGAGTTTACAGTGCGACGGATATCTTCGAAATCTCTGTTCCACATAACTGACTATAATCAAGTGAATGTCACTGACAGATACAAGTCCAGAGCAACATTCACCGGGAGAATGAATTCCTCAGGATCTGGGGTGTTCAGCTTCCAGCTGTATAATGTGGACTGGCCAGACAATGAAGAGTACAGATGTCACAGAGGGTCACCACGCTCTACCGGGTCAAGAGTGTACGACTGTGGTCAATGGCTATTTGTAATATGTGCGTATTATTTAATAACATGAGTACAATCAACCAAGCACAAATAACAGATAAATGAGACAAATGTTGCTGAAACAAGCTCTCTGAAATCAAAACTACTGGCCATCTGCTTTTGATATTCACTCAAAAAATTATCAAAATATACCTTTTCCATAATCTATCAAATACCATGCCACGAGAGGTATTCTCATGTCCTGATGCTCAATCGAACATACAATTTGCCAGCGCATTTGTCTTATTACTTGTTTGAAAAATGTTCTGTGACATGTGTATATTTTCATTTAGAAATGATGAGTATGCTATATAGTTGTCCTCAAATATGAGTTAAGGTCCCTGTAACGACCCTTGCATTGTACCTTTACCAATAGCCATACATTATATTTATGAACAGATATTGCGGTTGCCTACATCGTCGCCCCTCAGACAGTTGAAGCCGATAAAAATGTCACGCTGACATGTTACGTCGCCGTGAAAGGGTACATACATACATTAGTAACTTGGAGTTGGAGGCGGAATGAAGTCGAACATGTAAACATAGGAATACATCCTTTGGCAGTTTCGAAGTTACATGGAGACTACTTCTACCTTAAGAGCGCTCTGATAGTCAGTGATGTAGGACAGGATGATGACAGAGGGAGATACACGTGTAAAGCTGAACTAGTGAGATGGAATGTTCAAACTGACTGGAGTGAAGAATTTACAATGTCCACAGACTGTAAGTGACTAAACCACTACAACATCAAAGGCAGGTAGTCAAGTTGTATAATATGCATGTTCATATGACCAACTCATTCATCCTAATTACAAATGCTTCTAGGGGCAGAGGGCAGAATCCACAGTTTACCTAGTAGTATAAGATTGTAATAACAACAAGACATAGATGTAATCTCCAGACGAAGGTCATACAAATGTCTTCTGTTACAACTTATGATCCATACAGTCATGCCAGTATCTAGCTAGTCATGTGTTAACTTGATGAGACTTTCTATCTTAGCCCCCTGTTACAGACGAATGTCATTTCTTTACACAACATTTACATTACACTATCTTTATTTGAATTTGTTTTATTAATATACAAATCAGGTGTCCGGCAGGTTGACTCCTGGGAGTCTAGTGTGATCCTGTTCATACAGCACCCTAACCAGTTGGAGGAGATGGTAGTGTGACTGTTAATGGTTGGGTTATATACACCCCAGGAAGTAAAGAACGATAATAATCAAGTATTCTATATTTTTTAAAGAGCTCTGTACACATCCATAGTAATGACAAAATTGAAATGTGTATTTATTGCCTCCCAATATCACTAATATTGCAACTGATTCAGCACTATGCACATTACGCTTTCACATGAACATGAAACACAGACCCGCGCTCATGTCAGTACGCTTTCACTCATACATGCACACTGTTAACTTATGTATGTGTAATTGTGATGTTTTACAGCAAAGATGGAAAAAGTCCCGAACTACACACAAGTGCGTGAAGGTGATCATGCCATGGTAGCCTGGAAGATGCCTCGTTATCGATATGAATTCTACATCATGACACCTAGTGGGGATAAGTTTATGGCAGTGGATTCCAATAAGGTCTACATACTTCCTGAGTACTGGCTCAGAACCAGGATGGTGGAGGTTGTTACCTCCCGTAACACCAGCACCTATGTCTTTCGTCTCTACAATGTTACACTAGCTGATGCTGGAAGGTACACCTGCAGGAGAGAGGAAAAAGGTGCAACCAAGATTTCCATGACTCGGTGTATACACGACCTGTTTGTCTCACGTACGTGTCTCTTACGTTCACAGTTGTAATCCGGTGTTATGTGTATTGCGTCAGCTGTGCTACTTAACTGTCAAAATAAAAATGAGTGAGTGAGTATTTCGTTAATCACTCTGAGAGGTAATTCAGTTCACAAATATAAAGATGAAAAGTTAATGCAAGAAAATAACAAGTTTCGAGTTTTCGACGAAACAGATACTGTAGGACGTAAGAGGCAACTTAGGCAGTGAAAAGCCATAATATGGAAGGAAAACCCTATCGTATGCAGATTCCTCTTCAAAGTATATATGTGGTAATAAATGGACTATTAATGCACTCACTTCGATTTGATATGACATTTGTGTCCCTAGTGAAATAATTTTCAATTAGCCCTTGGCACATAAACTTGATATTAAATTGTTTCAGGTTTGTGTAAACATAAAGTTATCACCCTCAGCAAAGACAAATCATGTAAATAGAAAATAACGTAGGCTTCTTCATTAGGCAGTGACCACAATAGTGTCAATGGAAGTATGTCAAAATATTTAACATAAGAATGTATTCCCTTAGAAAAAGTTGATATAAATAGAAGATGTATTTTGTTAAGGTACATACTTTTTTGTCTTATGCAAGTTGTTGAATGCATGCATTCTGAATGTTATAGTTATATACTAGTAATATGTGTTTTGTGAGTTTTGTTTTTGTAATGTATACAAATATGAAGTGTAATATATTGATGCATAGTGTAGCTTAGTATATAGCATTCAATACATTTCAGGTCATGACGCCACTGCAACAAAGCCAGTTATGACATCGCCGAGTAAGTGTAAGTATATAAGTGACTGGTGTAGAGTGGGGTTGCAATTCATCGTTCGGCAAATAGTTTATACTGTGACCTGTGTTTTGTGTAAATCATGTATTGTGTTGACTGTACTATTCATTTTCAGCTACGTATCTATCAATGACATCACAAGAACCACACTCAAAGGCCCATGTGACATCCCCTAGTTTGTGTAAGTACAGACTCGACTTTGTGTATAGTCATATGTAGTGCAGAAACAGGAGAAACAGTGCAAACAGGAGCAGTTTATAGTCACTCTGTATACAGTGTATACTCGGGTAGTATACGTTTTTCGGGTAGTATACGTAGTGCTAAGTATGTACTTGGTTATATGAAGTGATTCAAGACCTAAGTGAACTTTTCTACAATTGGTATGGCAGACAGGTGGAGGACTTTTCAAAATATGTCTCATCATTGACAAGCAAAGCCAAACTGACTTCCTTTGCATGTGTTTATGACGGTGCTACCATCGCTTACCTTTTCGCGAATATCTGCTACCATCACTATTTGACATGCTGATTATATAAACATTTGCTTATGATATAGTCGCAATCGTATATTGGACTCGAATGATTTCTTATGATTATGGAAATGGCATTGTCGCTTTTTTATCCAGAATCATACCTACTGGCAATGGTATATTGATATCAATATTATAGTGCATATGCTTAGGCCATGGTTATAATGCCTCATGAAAACGTTCTCCCTGCCAAACATGTGGTGAACACTCGACTGGAATTTTCTCAACGACCAGTTAATTGTATATGTAAAGTAAATGATATTTTTATATCACAGATGGATATGCCGCTCTTATAGGAATCCTGGTAGCGGTTCTCATTGTATTTGTTATCAAACGGTAAGACCACACTTTGATCGCATGTATTCTTTGGAGATCATCTATTCGGAATAAGTACCTGTAACTCCTACACTGAAAGACCGTTTCCGTGGTCCAGTGGTAGAGCAGCCGTCCGGAGAGCGGAAGGTCCGGGGTTTGATCCCCGGCAGCGTCATACCAAAAGACGTTAAATGATGGCATTTGTTGTTACCCTGTCTGGCGCTCGGCATTAAGGGGCTAAAACAAGGACTGGTTGGTTCGGAGTCAGTAAACTGTGTCTGAGTCGGGTAGTATTCAGGTTGAAATGCGGCATGGTATCTCAGTGAGCTAGCACTATAAATAGGTATCAGTCCGGACTAGTACAAGAAGCCACACAAACACGTGCATGAACGTCGCCATATATGTGAAAAATCTTGGACGCGACGGTAAACCCAATTTCACCTCACCTATGCTGAAATATTTTGTATTTGAAATTGTAACACGAACAATATGTTTTACTGTTTCCCTTGTTTGTCTATCTGGTACCAGAATACCAGTCTGTACATCACTGCTCATTTCTGTTGAAGGCGTTCTTTCTGTATTCAATGCAAGAGGTCACGGCATGAAGACGACGGAGGAAGTAACACGGACGTGTGTAGTGGAGAAGAACATGAGCTACCATGGCAACCAGACAGCGCTGGAGCAGGACAAAATACGCCGGATGGTGTGACCGTCCAGAGGATACATACGGCGGCTGTTCCTTGTAGTATGATGTCTCTGCCTCGGAACGAGAACAGTGATCGGACGTGTGACACGGAGGAACATATCTACGGAACTGTTACCGTCGTGCAATGTCACACATCTAGTATACTATGATGAGTTGGCCAAGCAAAAGGTGGTCAATAGTATGTCTCAGTAATTGATAGTATTGAGGTTATGGTTCCTATATGTTTTGTATGTAGTATGGGAGTGGTCCCCCATACAGAGATGCCAAACAACAACAGAACGTTGTCGATAAGGTGTAACCATGGCTTATGTTATTATGTAGTATGGGAGTGGTACCCATACAGAGGTGCCGAACAACAACAGAATGTTGTCGATAAGGTGCAACCATGGCTTATGTTATTATGTAGTATGGGAGTTGTCCCCCATACAGAGATGCCAAACAATGACATAACCTTGTCGATAAGGTGTAACCATGGCTTATGTTATTATGTAGTATGGGAGTGGTGCCCCATACAGAGATGCCGAACAACAACAGAACGTTGTCGATAAGGTGTAACCATGGCTTATGTTATTATGTAGTATGGGAGTGGTACCCCATACAGAGTGGCCGAACAACAACAGAACGTTGTCGATAAGGTCGAACCATGGCTTATGTTATTATGTAGTATGGGAGTTGTCCCCCATACAGAGATGCCAAACAACGACAGAACCTTGTCGATAAGGTGTAACCATGGCTTATGTTATTATGTAGTATGGGAGTGGTGCCCCATACAGAGATGCCGAACAACAACAGAACGTTGTCGATTAGGTGTAACCATGGCTTATGTTATGTATGTTGCATTTGAGTGGTGCCCCATACAGAGATGCCGAACAACAACAGAATGTTGTCGATAAGGTGTAACCATGGCTTATGTTATGTATGTAGTGTGGGAGTGGTCCCCCATACAGAGATGCCGAACAACAACAGAACGCTGTCGATAAGGTGTAACCATGGCTTATGTGATGTCCTATGCAGAGTTGTGTCTCTTAGCCTTGGCAGAATGCTGTCATTCTGTGTACAAATCTTGGCTCGCCATGAATATTTGTTAAGGTTTGCACCACATCCGTGCTCGTTGGTTTCACCACAGTGAGGAAAGTGTGAGACCTGCATCGCCTCGTGGTTTCCTTCCACGTCATGCTGATGCGCCGTTAAAATGAGTCACTCGAAGTCACGTACAAAGAAGCCTTATATTCATTAATATGATTAACGTATTTTCGAGAATTGACTCCCAGCTGGAATATGTTCTGCGTAACCCATTCAAATGTTTTATGACATTAAAACATGTCCTGTTCCATGTCATCCTGAAAATTAGCAAATTTAACAGTGTGAACGTAGCTGCGGTTAGCTTTTCGGGCTAGCAATCAATAGCTTGCGAGTTAGCGTCCAACGGATTCTCAGAAAAAAACTGATTGCTTGTCTGAGTGGCATGTGACCTACACATCTAGTATACTATGATGAGTTGGCCAAGCAAAAGGTGGTCAATAGTATGTCTCAGTAATTGATAGTATTGAGGTTATGGTTCCTATATGTTATTATGTAGTGTGGGAGTGGTCCCACAAACAGAGATGCCGACCAACAACAGAACGTTGTCGATAAGGTGTAACCATGGCTTATGTTATTGTGTAGTATGGGAGTGGTACCCCGTACAGAGATGCCGAGCAACAACAGAACGTTGTCGATAAGGTGTAAGCATGGCTTATGTTATTATGTAGTGTGGGAGTGGTCCCCCATACAGAGATGCCGAACAACAACAGAACGTTGTCGATAAGGTGTAACCATGGCTTATGTTATTATGTAGTGTGGGAGTGGTACCCCATACAGAGATGCCACACAACAACAGAACGTTGTCGATAAGGTGTAACCATGGCTTATGTTATTGTGTAGTATGGGAGTTGTCCCCATACAGAGATGCCAAACAACGACAGAACGTTGTCGATAAGGTGTAACCATGGCTTATGTTATTGTGTAGTATGGGAGTTGTCCCCATACAGAGATGCCACACAACAACAGAACGTTGTCGATAAGGTGTAACCATGGCTTATGTTATTGTGTAGTATGGGAGTTGTCCCCATACAGAGATGCCAAACAACGACAGAACGTTGTCGATAAGGTGTAACCATGGCTTATGTTATTGTGTAGTATGGGAGTTGTCCCCATACAGAGATGCCAAACAACGACAGAACGTTGTCGATAAGGTGTAACCATGGCTTATGTTATTGTGTAGTATGGGAGTTGTCCCCATACCGAGATGCCAAACAACGACAGAACGTTGTCGATAAGGTGTAACCATGGCTTATGTTATTGTGTAGTATGGGAGTTGTCCCCCATACAGAGATGCCAAACAACGACAGAACGTTGTCGATAAGGTCTAACCATGGCTTATGTTATTGTGTAGTATGGGAGTTGTCCCCATACAGAGATGCCGAACAACAACAGAACGTTGTCGATAAGGTGTAACCATGGCTTGGATTTCACCATAGAAGTATGAATCTCTTATAAAGATCATATCAGTGACCTGATGTACATATCCCAAACGAAAACGCTTTTGTTATGCATTCCACGAACTTTTTTTAATTTTCTTTTCACATTACAGCTGTGTAATTAGTTTAAAATAAATTATGGCTTCGAAACAATTTCTCGTGTTCATTATGCAGCAGGGGCAGGGTGGCCCTTTCGTCCAAGACGCCAAAATGTCCTATGCAGAGTTGTGTCCCTTAGCCTTGGCAGAATGCTGTCATTCTGTGTACAAATCTTGGTTCTCCATGAATATTTGTTAAGGTTTGCACCACATCCGTGCTCGTTGGTTTCACCACAGTGAGGAAAGTGTGAGACCTGCATCGCCTCGTGATTTCCTTCCACAACAAGATGATACGCCGTTAAATTGAGTCACTCGAAGTCACGTACAAAGAAGCCTTATATTCATTGATATGATTAACGTATTTTCGAGCATTGACCCCAGCTCGAATATGATCTGCGTAACCCATTCAAGTGTTTTATGACATTAAAACATGTCCTGTTTCATGTCATCCTGAAAATTAGCAAATTTAACAGTGTGAACGTAGCTGCGGTTAGCTAGCGTCCAACGGATTCTCAGAAAAAAACTGATTGCTTGTCTGAGTGGCATGTGACCTACAGCAGAGGTCGTCCTCGCAAGACAGAAACACACACACCGCCAACCTACATTATACACACACCGTTGAAACATATAGTTTTATAGTAACAGTAACTGAACACGGGGAAGTGCGAGATCACATGTGAAACCGGATGGAAAGTGGAGTAGACTGAGTCATACATAACACCTTCCCCATGGTGATAACCCCCGCTCAATGGTGATAATTCCTGTCCCATGGTGATAACTCCTGCTCCCAAGGTGATAACTCCTGCCCGATGGTGATAACTCCTGCCCCAAGGTGATAACTCCTGCCCTATGATGATAACTACAGCCCCATGGTGATAACTCCTGCCCAAAGGTGATAACTCCTGCCCCATGGTGATAACTCCTGCACAAAGATGATAACTCCTGCCCTATGGTCAGAACTCCTGCCCCATGGTGATAACTCTTGGCCCATGGTGATAACTCCTGCCCCATGGTGATAACTCCTGCCCCATGGTGATAACTACAGCCCCATGGTGATAACTTCTGCCCCAAGGTGATAACCCCCGCCCCATGGTGATAACTAGAGCCCCATGGTGATAACTAGAGCCCCATGGTGATAACTCCTGCCCCATGGTGATAACGTCTGCCCCATGGTGATAACTACAGCCCCATGGTGATAAATACAGCCCCATGGTGATAACTACAGCCCCATGGTGATAACTACAGCCCCATGGTGATCACTCCTGCCCCATGGCGATAACTGCTACCCCATGGTGATAACGACAGCCCCAAGGTGATAACTCCTGTCCCATGGTGATAACTCCTGCCCCAAGATGATAACTCCTGCCCTATGATGAGAACTCCTGCTCCATGGTGATCACTCCTGCCCTTTGATGAGAACTCCTGCCCCATGGTGATCACTCCTGCCCTATGATGAGAACTCCTGCCCCATGGTGATCACTCCTGCCCCATGGTGATAACTCCTGCCCCAAGATGATAACTCCTGCTCCATGGTGATAACTCCTGCCCTATGATGAGAACTCCTGCCCCATGGTGATCACTCCTGCCCCATGGTGATAACTCCTGCCCCAAGATGATAACTCCTGCTCCATGGTGATAACTCCTGCCCCATGGTGATAACTCTAATAGGGAGTCACAAATAGTAATTACACAAATGCATAGATGATTGTTCCTAAACAAGATATTATTTGTAGTTAGTATAGCATCAGTTGGCATATGTTCAACACTTATAAGGTCAGGTTTAAGAGGATAAGTAGTGATTGAGTGAGTAATGTTATACGCCGCTTTTAGCAGTTTTCCAGCAACATCACGACGCTGGACACCAGAAATGGTACTCACACATTGTATGTACCCACGTCGGGAATGGAACTCAGGTCTTCGTGACGAGCGAACGCTTTATCCACAAGGCTGCCCCGCATCCCCGGATAAGTAGTCATTTATTCAGACTGCATTACATGTGCTTACGCTATTGTCGGATTCGGACAAGTGCCTCTGTTTTAGCAAAGGTTTCTAATAATCACAGACAGTGTTCTGTTGGTATCATTAAAATTGTAATGTGAATGAGTGGGTTTTACATGTGTTTGATTGGTGTAGGTCAGGCCGATGTTGATAAGATATGGTCAGATATAGTCAGAGGAACCAGTGATTGATATCATGAGCAGCGTCCAACAACGCCGTCGTGCACAATGACGCTGGGTCATGCAATCCACGATCTTGAACACCCGATCCCATTTAGCTGCATCCGAAGAGACAAACAATAAATTGAATTGAGGTCAGATGTATGAAACTTTGGTCGTTAATAATTTATAGGGAGGAAGAACATTCTGTTCACGCTTGTATAGTCATATTACGGTAATTGAAACAACCTTGGTGGAAAACTGCTTTGAATCATAACGCAGAAAAAAACGTGTCGAAATAAGCATGAGTGAATACACATTCACCAAACTAAGATGACTTAGTTTGGACGGTGCTTTGACATATTACACTCACACAATGCGACCCTCGTTGTGGTGTGTACTTTGTATTGTCTGCAGTATAGTGACAGACTGCTGGACGGGGGCTACACGTGAGTGATTTTGTTACATTACTACTTACCTCGCTTCCTCGTGTAGGTATGTTATCATAGCTGTTACAGATGGGGGCTTATTCCTAACAATTAATGTCCATTTCTCGAATTTGAATGCTGTGTAGGTTTACTAAAGTTGCGATCAAGAAATCCTTTATCAAAGTAAATGCTATGGTTTGATTGAAACAACACAAAAAAACTGACTGTGAAGCACCATTGGTGCTCATGGGGGTGCCAACGTCTTGCCTAAATGTCCTTTCCTTAAATTTCTTTTCTCTGTAAACTTCGGATGACATTTGCTTTCATCTTCCACACTTCTTTCAAGCTTATATTAAGTCAATGCTAATTAATTACTAATAATATATAAGTATTTCAATCTAAAATCGCAACATGAATATCTTTGTGGCTTCAAAATCGGATGTTCGAAATAACTAACTACAAGAGAAGTTATGACATTTGTGTGTTTTGGGATGGTAAATATCTCGTATTTATGATAATTACTGTGTACATTATATTATTTATTATAAATGATTTTTAAAGAATGTTCAATGTAAGTTCGCAATATGCCCGTAATATGCATGCCTATAATGACAGAATGTAAACACACCGCCGCATCACTTCACGATGCATACCATAACATTCCTATGAACTAAATATAGCGAGCGCTGAAGTATTGGGGAAATCGAATCTAACTTTTATCAAAACATATATTTTTTACGAGGAAACAACATGCCTCACTTTGAAATGACAAAATACTTAGATGTGCCATCGCGACTACACACAGCACGGCAAATCGTGTGTTCATTCAGCGCAAACAGATATGCTATCTGATTGATTTGAAAATAAATGAAATGTACATTAACTAATATGATGGACTGTGTAAACAAATTGATTTCAGTTACAACCATCCATTTAAAAGAAATTCAAAAGTCATGGGTACCGTTTTTCTATTTTACTAAATGACAGTTTAAAGCTGTATGATTTGTAATGTGAAGTTTAAAAGATATACGGCATTTCCATTGGGCGAGAGGTCGGTCACATGACCGCGAAACTGACGTTCATACGTGTTTCTCGAGACTGTTTTCTTGAAATGACGTAAACACTGACGGACTTTTTTTCACATTCCTGGGGGATAGCACGAATACACAATGTCAGTCAAATAGCCCATTCCCTTCCACTGATTTACCCACTTGAACAAGAAATAGAGGAGACCAGTGAGACCACCTCATCCGTTCCATATTTAGATCTCTGCATAAAGATTCAGGGTGACAATACACTCTCCACAACACTGTATGACAAGAGGGATGACTTCCACTTCCCAATAGTCAACTTCCCTTCAATGTCGAGTAATATTCCAGCAGCTCCAGCATTTGGCGATTACATTTCACAACATTTGAGATACAACAAAGCATGTTCTTTGTGCCACGATTTCAAAGAGCGTCATGCGACTCTTGCTCAGAAGTTGTTTGATCAAGATTACAGCATTCAAGGCCTCAGTAAAGCTTTCAAAAAGTTTTTTGGTAGATATGTGGAGGACTTTTCCAAATTTGACCCACCATTGACAAAATGTATGTCCGATACAATTCCCTATTTTGACTTGTACCATATGTTTCCGTTTTGTTTTAGGCGAACAACTGACTTTCCTTTGCATGTGTTTGTGAGGGTGCCGCCGGTCGCGACGATCTGGTATCATTACTACTTGAAAGTGATTCATAAACACAAGCTCGTGATATAATCGGAATCGTAGACTCTGCTTTATACAGGCATTGTTTTGGATATGGAAAACGTTTTGCCGCTTTATTGATATATTCTGATCATTAAGCCCCCTAATCTTGAACTCAGGATTGACGCATACATTGAGAAATGTCAGAGAGTTTTATTGCATGATTGTTCACGAATATCCTCGCTACGACCCATCCTTGTGAACAAATGCACATCCAAACTATTGTAGTTTCGACTCGATCCGTGCTTAGACTACAGTGACAGTCTACAGCAACTTATGAATTGACCTTAGTATCTATTGGACACATCTTTATAATCACATTTCAATGAGCGGCCAACTGATCAGTGATGACTGGCACCGTGACATTCAGTTGTATCTGCTACACAACGCAGGCAGAACTACTGCTTCCTGGTTTTCTTCGGGTGTGTTTTACCATGCATTGTATTATTTCAGCTGCGGTGCCTGCACACGCCCGCCTCGGGAGTACTGCCTTTCTGTCGTGGAAATTACCCCGACCTGGACTCGGAGAATTTACAGTGCGACGGTTATCTTCGAAATCTCTGTTCCACATAACTGACTACAATCAAGTGAATGTCACTGACAGATACAAGTCCAGAGCTGCATTCACCGGGAGAGTGAATTCTTCAGGATCTGGGGTGTTCAGCTTCGAGCTGTATAATGTGGACTGGCCAGACAGTGCAGAGTACAGATGTCACAGAGGGTCACCAGGCTCGCCCGGGTCAAGAGTGTACGACTGTGGTCAACGGCTATTTGTAAAATGTGAGTATGATTTAATAATATGAGTACAATCAACCAAGCACAAATAACAGATAAATGAGACAAATGTAGTTGAAACAAGTTCTCTCAAATCAAAACTACTGGCCATCTCCTTTTGATATTCACTCACAAAATCATCAAAATGTACCTTTTCCAGAATATATCAAATACCATGCCACGAGAGGGATACTCGTCCTCATACTCAATCGAACATACATTTTGCAAGCGCTTTTGTCTTATTACTTGTTGGAAAAATGTTCTGTGACATGTGTATATTTTCATTTATAATACATGATGAGTTTATGTAGTTTTACTCAAATATGAGTTTAGGTCCCTGTAACGATTCTTGCATTGTACCTCTACCAATTGCCATACATTATATTTATGAACAGATATTGCGGATCCCTACATCGTCGCCCCTCAGACAGTTGAAGCCGATAAAATTGTCACGCTGACATGTTACGTCGCCGTGAAAGGGTATTTACAGACATCAATTACTTGGGGTTGGAGGCGGAATGAAGTCGAAGTGGCAAACATAGAAAGACTTCCTTTGGCAGTTTCTAAGTTACATGGAGACTATTACTACCACAAGGGTTCTCTGACCGTCAGTGATGGTACCAGAGGCAGATACACGTGTAAAGCTGAACTGGTGGGATGGGATGTTCAGTCTGAATGGAGTGAAGAATCTGAATTGTCTACAAACTGTAAGTGATTAAAACACTACAACATCAAAGGCAGGCTGGCAACTTGTATAATGAGACGTTAGTTGTTGTGTAAAATTCATTTATGAGCAATGTACTTAATTGCAAATATGTGATTGAGGGCAGAATCCACAGTATAACTCTCAGATTATATCAACAACAATGCATAGATGTGATATCCAGTCGAATGTCATACAACTGCCGTGTTTTAGATGAATGCCATTTCTTTACATTAGAACACTATCTACCTCAGAATATCTTTATTTGAAAAACATACATTTAGAAATATACAAACAATGATTGGAGATCAGGTGCTCAGCAGGTTGACTCGTGAGAGTCTAGTGTACTCCTGTTCACACAGCACCCTAACAAGTTGGAGGAGATGGCAATGTGACTGTTAATGGTTAGGTTATATGCTCCTCAGGAAGTAAAGAATGAAAATAATTGAGTGTTCTAGGCGCATTTGAGTAGTTATATGTTTTGAAGCGGTCTGTACAAATCCATAGTAATGACAAAATTGAAATGTGTATTTATTGTCTCCCAATATAACTTATATTGCAACGGATTCAGCACATTACGCTTTCACAAAAAAACATGAAAACAAGGACCCGCGCTCATGCCAGTACGCTTTCACTCATACATGCACACTGTTAAATTATGTATGTGTAATTGTGATGTTTTACAGCAAAGATGGAAAAAGTCCCGAACTACACACAAGTGCGTGAAGGTGATCATGCCATGGTAGCCTGGAAGATGCCTCGTTATCGATATGAATTCTACATCATGACACCTAGTGGGGATAAGTTTATGGCTGTGGATGCCAATAAGGTCTACATACTTCCTAAGTACTGGCTCAGAACCAGGATGGTGGAGGTTGTTACCTCCCGTAACACCAGCACCTATGTCTTTTGTCTCTACAATGTTTCACTAGCTGATGCTGGAAGGTACACCTGCAGGAGAGAGGAAAAAGGTGCAACCAAGATCTCCCTGACTCGGTGTATACACGACCTATTTGTCTCAAGTACGTATCTCATACGTTCACAATTGTAATCCGGTGTTATGTGTATTGCGTCAGCTGTGCTACTTAACTGTCAAATTAAAAATGAGTGAGTGAGTATTTCGTTAATCACTCTGAGAGGTAATTCAGTTCACAAATTTAAAGATGAAAAGTTAACACAAAAAAATAACAAATGTCGAGTTTTCGACGAAACAGATACTATAGGACGTAAAAAGCAAATTAGGCAGTGAAAAGCCATAATATGGAAGAAACCCTATCGTATGCAGATTCCTCTTCAAAGTATATACCCGTATGTGGTAATAAATGGACTATAAATGCACTCCCAAGTGATGTAATGTGTCCCAAGTGAAATAATTTTCAGTTAGCCCTCGGGACATAAACTTGATATTATATTGTTTCAGGTTTGTGTAAACATAAAGTTATCACCCTCAGCAAAGACAGTTCATGTTAATAGAAAATAATGTAGGCTTCTTCATTAGGCAGTGACTATATAGTGTCACTGTAAGTATGTCAAAATATTGAATATAAGAATGTATTCTCTTAGAAAAAATTGATATAAATAGCAGATAGGCTGTATTTTGTTAAGGTACGTACTTTTTTTTGTCTTTTGCGAGTTGTTGAATGCATGCATTCTGAATGTAATAGTTATATACAAGTAATAGGTGTTTTGTGAGTTTTGTTTTTGTAATGTATAAAAATAAGGAGTGTAATATATTGATGCATAGTGTAGTTTAGTATATAACATTCAATACATTTCAGGTCATAACGCCACAGCAACAAAGCCAGTTATGACATCGCCGAATAAGTGTAAGTATATAAGAATGGTGTAGAGTGAAAAAAGTTGCAATTCATCGTTCGGCACACAGTTTATACTGTCACCTGTATTTAGTGTAAATTGTGTATCGTGTAGACTGTGCCATGCATGGCCCGTGTAGAATCCACAAGTTCATGTAAGTCTACATACTCGACTTGTGTGTAGTGTACAATGTCATATGTAGTACAGATACAGGAGTAACAGTGCAAACAGGTCTATAGTTACTCGGTATACAGTGTATACTCGGGCAGTATACGTTTTTCAACGTGTAATATACACTGTGTAGTGCTTAGTATGTACTTGGTTATATGAAGTGATTTAAGACCTAAGTGAACTTTTCTACAACTGGTATGGCAGACAGGCGAGCATCATCAGTTACAAGCAAAGCCAAACTGACTTTCCTTTGCATGTGTTCACGACGGTGCTACCAGCGCTTACCTTTTCGCGAATACCTGCAACCATCACTATCTGACACGCTGATCATATAAAAAAAAATGCTTATGATATAGTTGCAATCGAATGATTTCTTATGAGTATGGATATGGCATTGTCGGATTTTATATCCAGAATCATAACTACTGGCAATGGTATATCGATATCAATATTATAGTGCACATGTTTAGGCCATGGTTATAAGGCCTCATGAAAACGTTCTGCCTGCCAAACATGTGGTGAACACTCGACTGGAACTCTTCTCAACGACCAGTTAATTATATATGTAAAGTTAATGATATTTTTTTTATTTTACAGATGGATATGCCGTTCTTATAGGAATCCTGGTAGCGGTTCTCATATTGTATTTGTTAACAAACGGTAAGACCAAATTTGATCGCGTGTATTCTTTGGAGATCATCTATTCGGAATAAGTACCTGTAACTCTTACACTGAAAGACCTCTTCCGTGGTCCAGTGGTAGAGCATCCGCCCGGAGAGAGGAAGGTCCGGGGTTCGATCCCCGGTCGCGTCATACCAAAAGACGTTAAAAGATGGTATTTGTTGTTACCCTGTCTGGCGCTCAGCATTAAGGGGCTAAAACAAGGACTGGTCGGCTCGGAGTCCGTATACTGTGTCTCAGTGGTGTATTCATGTTGAAATGCGGCATGGTATCTCAGTGAGCTAGCACTATAAATCGGCATCAGTCCGGACTAGTACACACACACACACACACACACACACACACACACACACACACACACACACACACACACACACACACACACACACACACACACACACACACACACACTCCCATATATTTTGTGTTTGAAATTGTAACACGAACAGTATGTTTTACTGTTTCCCTTGTTTGTCTATCTGGCACCAGAATGCCAGTCTGTACATCACTGCTTATTTCTGTTGAAGGCGTTCTTTCTGTATTCAGTGCAAGAGGTCACGGCATGAAGACGACGGAGGAAGTAACACGGACGTGTGTCGTGGAGAAGAAGATGAGCTACCATGGCAACCAGACAGCGCTGGAGCAGGACAATGTGCGCCGGATGGTGTGACTGTCCAGAGGATACATTCGGCGGCTGTTCCTTGTAGTATGATGCCTCTGCCTCGGAACGAGAACAGTGATCGGACGTGTGACACGGGGGAACATATCTACGGAATTGTGACCGTCGTGCAATGTCACACATCTAGTATACTATGATGAGTTGGCCAAGCAAAAGGTGGTCAATAGTATGTCTCAGTCATTGATAGTATTGAGGTTATGGCTCCTATATGTTATTATGTAGTATGGGAGTGGTCCCCCATACAGAGATGCCGAACAACAACAGAACGTTGTCGATAAGGTGTAACCATGGCTTATGTTATTATGTAGTATGGGAGTGGTACCCCATACAGAAATGCCGAACAACAACAGAACGCTGTCGATAAGGTGTAACAATGGCTTATGTTATGTATGTAGTATGGGAGTGGTACCCCATACAGAGATGCCGAACAACAACAGAACGTTGTCGATAAGGTGTAACCATGGCTTATGTTATTATGTAGTATAGGAGTGGTACCCAATACAGAAATGCCGAACAACAACAGAACACTGTCGATAAGGTGTAACAATGGCTTATGTTATGTAAGTAGTGTGGGAGTGGTACCCCATACACAGATGCCGAACAACAACAGAACGTTGTCGGTAAGGTGTAAGCATGACTTGGATTTCACCATAGCAGTATTACTAGACTTGGATTTCACCATAGCAGTATTACTAGACTTGGATTTCACCATAGCAGTATTACTAGACTTGGATTTCGTCATAGCAGTATTACTAGACTTGGATTTCACCATAGCAGTATTACTAGACTTGGATTTCACCATAGCAGTATTACTAGACTTGGATTTCACCATAGCAGTATTACTAGGCTTGGATTTCACCATAGCAGTATTACTAGACTTGGATTTCACCATAGCAGTATTACTAGACTTGGATTTCACCATAGCAGTATTACTAGACTTGGATTTCACCATAGCAGTATTACTAGGCTTGGATTTCACCATAGCAGTATTACTAGACTTGGATTTCACCATAGCAGTATGTATGTATAATGTATTACTAGACTTGGATTTCACCATAGCAGTATGTATGTATAATGTATTACTAGACTTGGATTTCACCATAGCAGTATTACTAGACTTGGATTTCACAATAGCAGTATGTATCTCTTATAAAGATCATGTCAGTGACCTGATGTACATATCCCAAATGAGAACGCTTTTGTTATGCATTCCACGAACTTTCTATAATTTTCTTTTCACATTACAGCTGCGTAATTAGTTTAAAATAAATTATGGCTTTGAAACAATTTCTCGTGTTCATTATGCAGCAGGGGCAGGGTGGCCCTTTCGTCCAAGACGCCAAAATGTCCTATGCAGAGTTGTGTCTCTTAGCCTTGGCAGAATGCTGTCATTCTGTGTACAAATCTTGGTTCTCCATGAATATTTGTTAAGGTTTGCACCACATCCGTGCTCGTTGGTTTCACCACAGTGGGGAACGTGTGAGACCTGCATCGCCTCGGGATTTCCTTCTACGTCATGCTGATGCGCCGTTAAAATGAGTGACTCGAAGTCACGTACAAAGAAGCCTTATATTCATTGATATGATTAACGTATTTTCGAGCATTGACCCCCAGCTGGAATATGTTCTGCGTAACCCATTCAAATGTTTTATGACATGTCCTGTTTCATGTCATCCTGAAAATTAGCAAATTTAACAGTGTGAACGTAGCTGCGGTTAGCTGTCGGGGTAGCAATCAATAGGTGGCGAGTTAGCGTCTAACGGATTCTCAGATAAAAACTAATTGCTTGTCTGAGTGGCATGTGACCTACAGCAGAGGTCGTCCTCGCAAGACAGAAACACACACACTGCCAACCTACATTATACACACACTGTTGAAACATATAGTTTCATAGTAACAGTAACTGAACACGGGGAAGTGCGAGATCACATGTGAAACCGGATGGAAAGTGGAGTAGACTGAGTCATATATAACTCCTTCCCCATGGTGATAACACCCGCTCAATGGTGATAATTCCTGTCCCATGGTGATAACTCCTGCCCTATGATAATAACTACAGCCCCATGGTGATACCTCCTGTCCCAAGGTGATAACTCCTGCCCCATGGCGATAACTCCTGCCCTATGATTAGAACTCCTGCCCTAAGATGATATTTCCTGCCCTATGATGGGAACTCCTGCCCCATGGTGATAACTACAGCCCCATGGTGATAACTCCTGCCCCATGGTGTTAACTACAGCCCCATGGTGATAACTCCTGCCCCATGGTGATAACTCCTGCCCATGGTGATAACTCCTGCCCCATGGTGATAACCTCTGCCCCAAGGTGATAACTACAGCCCCATGGTGATAACTATAGCCCCATGGTGTTAACTCCTGCCCCATGGGGATAACTTCAGCCCCATGGTGATAACTCCTGCCCCAAGGTGATAACTACAGCCCCATGGTGATAACTACAGCTCCTTGGTGATAACGCCTGCCCCATGGTGATAACTACAGCCCCATGGTGATAACTTCTGCCCCATGGTGATAACTCCTGCTCCATGGTGATAACTCCTGCTCCATGGTGATAACTCCTGCCCCATGGTGATAACCTCTGCCCCATGGTGATAACTTCTGCCCCATGGTGATAACTCCTGCCCCAAGGTGATAACTACACCCCCATGGTGATAACTACAGCTCCTTGGTGATAACGCCTGCCCTATGATTGGAACTCCTGCCCTAAGATGATATTTCCTGCCCTATGATGGGAACTCCTGCCCCATGGTGATAACTCCTGCCCCATGGTGATAACTACAGCCCCATGGTGATAACTCCTGCCCCATGGTGATAACTCCTGCCCCATGGTGATAACTCCTGCCCAATGGTGATAACCTCTGCCCCATGGTGATAACTACAGCCCCATGGTGATACCTCCTGCCCCATGGTGATAACTACAGCCCCATGGTGATAACTTCAGCCCCATGGTGATAACTCCTGCCCAATGGTGATAACCTCTGCCCCAAGGTGATAATTACAGCCCCATGGTGATAACTCCTGCCCCATGGTGATAACTACAGCCCCATGGTGATAACTTCAGCCCCATGGTGATAACTCCTGCCCCAAGGTGATAACTACAGCCCCATGGTGATAACTACAGCTCCTTGGTGATAACGCCTGCCCCATGGTGATAACTACAGCCCCATGGTGATAACTTCTGCCCCATGGTGATAACTCCTGCTCCATGGTGATAACTCCTGCTCCATGGTGATAACTCCTGCCCCATGGTGATAACCTCTGCCCCATGGTGATAACTCCTGCTCCATGGTGATAACTCCTGCTCCATGGTGATAACTCCTGCCCCATGGTGATAACTCCTGCTCCATGATGATAACTCCTGCCCCATGATGAGAACTCCTGCCCCATGGTGAGAACTCCTGCCCCATGGTGATAACTCCTGCCCCATGGTGATAACCTCTGCCCTATTATGAGAACTCCTACCCCATGTTGATAACTCCTGCCCCACGGTGATAACTCCTGCTCCACGGTGATAACTCCTGCTCCATGGTGATAACTCCTGCCCCATGGTGATAACCTCTGCCCCATGGTGATAACTTCTGCCCCATGGTGATAACTCCTGCTCCATGGTGATAACTCCTGCTCAATGGTGATAACTCCTGCCCCATGGTGATAACTCCTGCTCCATGATGATAACTCCTGCCCCATGATGAGAACTCCTGCCCCATGGTGATAACTCCTGCCCCATGGTGATAACTCCTGCTCCATGGTGATAACTCCTGCCCCATGGTGATAACTCCTGCTCCATGATGATAACTCCTGCCCCATGATGAGAACTCCTGCCCCATGGTGATAACTCCTGCCCCATGGTGATAACTACAGCCCCATGGTGATAACTCCTGCCCCATGATGTTAACTACAGCACCATGGTGATAACTCCTGCCCCATGGTGATAACTCCTGCCCCATGGTGATAACTCCTGCCCAATGGTGATAACCTCTGCCCCAAGGTGATAACTACAGCCCCATGGTGATAACTATAGCCCTATGGTGTTAACTCCTGCCCCATGGTGATAACTACAGCCCCATGGTGATAACTCCTGCCCCAAGGTGATAACTACAGCCCCATGGTGATAACTACAGCTCCTTGGTGATAACGCCTGCCCCATGGTGATAACTACAGCCCCATGGTGATAACTTCTGCCCCATGGTGATAACTCCTGCTCCATGGTGATAACTCCTGCTCCATGGTGATAACTCCTGCCCCATGGTGATAACCTCTGCCCCATGGTGATAACTTCTGCCCCATAGTGATAACTCCTGCTCCATGGTGATAACTCCTGCTCCATGGTGATAACTCCTGCCCCATGGTGATAACTCCTGCTCCATGATGATAACTCCTGCCCCATGATGA